AAAAAAAAAAAATAAAAAAAAAAAAAAATATACCGACGAATTGAATACCTCCTTCTTTTGGGAAGTCGGTCAAAAAATAGGGTGATATTAACGTTTTATGTGTACCTGCTATTGATCGCTGTTTGATCTAAATTCGACGTTAAATCCAAAGAATCGTTTTAAATACCTGTACATAAATTTATTTACCTCGCTATTAACCATTTTGCGCATTTTAAATAAAAAAAAAACTCCACCTGTTCATTTTTCGTAACATTTTAATAACTACAAAAGTGTAATTTACTTTAACAGTGTTCAAACATTATAAGTCTTTTTCTTCTTATCTAAACTATAGATGGATGGATGTTTGTTAGAGGCTGTTGCCTAAACTGCTGAACGTATCTTCATGAAAATTGGCTAGTTTTGATCCCAGAAATAGTTACGGTTCCTGCAGGATACATTAAATTTGTTTTATCATATTTACTTGATAATTCTGCAACGTTTCAATACATTTCATTGAAGTTTGACACAGATATTAAACTAAGTCCGCGGTGACATGGGATATGGTAAATCCATAAAAAATATAAAGTCACCGAGGGACATGTTTTTGTTTATCGTATGTTTTTTAATTCATACAGCGCTGACAAATTTGCGGCAACGAATAGTATTTCAGTGTTTTAGGAACGTGCTAAATGGAAGTAAGTAACCTATACCAACCCCTTTAGGTTACGTGTGTTGTGTTGTTAATTGTAGGTTGCATCATATAATCATTGTCACAAGGTCGTGGCATAAATTTGCATACTTTCAAGGATTTAGAATGATTTGTGATTTCAATTTGAATGAACCGCGTCCTGCTTATTAATTTTGGAACACTTCCAACATATTTACAGTCTTGTTTTGTTAACAAAATAATTGTCATGATGTAGAAAGGGTAGAAAAGGAAATCTATTTAAAGTTTTTATAATTCCAGAAATGTGAAAAAGGAATGATAAAAATCATATTAGGTATTTATTAAAACAGCTTGTGAATTTACACGCGCTGAATTAAAAAAAGCTTTTGTGACCTTCTAGCCTAAATTTTTCTACACTCTAAACCACTTATTTGTTCCATCATCTGCCAACTGCTGGAGCTATGTCCAAAAAGTAAAATGAGGGTCACCGCTTTTTACCAGGAATAATGTAATTTAAATGAAATACTCGTCGTGTTTATTTTCGAGTAGGTAAACATTTTCATGAAAACAACATTGCGAATTCTCTCATGGTTGTATTGATTGAACAGTATTCACAGCACGTTTTTATTTGCTTTTCCAAAGTTATATGTATATTTATCACCTTTGACTCTTGATAACTCTGAGAATCATTCAAATAGTTTGTTGTTGTTCACATCACAATGACATCTAATGCTAGGTTGCTGAAGTTTCCATTTATTCTGTCACTATAATGTTCCTGTGCGGCTTCATCCGCGTGGAATTATAAAAACTTTATTTTACTGTTTACATTTGTCAAATTCTTCATTGCAAATGTCAAAATTAACATTACCATAATAACCTTGCTTACTTGATGTTGGCAGCTTGTAGTTGGTCCCTTTCCCACGTGAAGTTTTTTTCTAACTTATTCACCCCCTAAGTTTAATAGTGTAACAATATATAAACTAAAGGGTGTCGTAAGTATAGGGCTTTGTTTTAAAGTAACAATTACTCAAGAATATGCTGTGATTGCTAACATTCTACGAAGTAGTGTGTGTTTAGGCTTTACTATATTAGTACAGAATATAAATTATTCATTATTATTATTATTCTATTGTGTTATTATACGAGTAGTATTATCCATTAGTATTAGGTTGAACTAAGTTTCAAAGGAGTGAAACTCAAGTTACGTAGTTCTGAAACGCATTTTATGAAGTTATCAAACAAAAAACACTAATAAATGGATAAAAGTGACTGGGAAACCGGCCATTGGTGGAGTTACATACAACCAACTGACGTTAAAATAGCTGGCCGCGTTTTGCTCGCAACAAAATGATTGTCTAAATGATTTATTTATTGTTTTTTTCAGTCTAATATTTTTTTATGGTTATCTATGTCTATAACTAGTAGAAAAAACATATAAAAAATATTAAAAACTTTAATAGGGAAATGCTATTACCTCTGAAAATACGTTTCTTTAAAAAGTAACATTTACCTGACATCTACACCTTTCTTAATACCGATAAGAAAACTTAATAAAACGAGGATATAAGTATATTAACCCGTCCAGAGTTTTATAACGGAAGGGATGAAGGACGTCAAAGATTCCAGGAACAACCTTTGTGATGAAAGTCCGTTAACAAAATACACTGCCGATAGAAATAGCTTTAATAAGTGACTCTTGAAATAAACCATTACTACGTCAAAGTTTATTTAGATTATTTATAATTATAATATAATAATGTCTATTGATTTCATAAAAAAATATTACATTACTATAGAACGGTTGAATAGTTCAGAGTGGAATTGAGAATAAGGAACATACACATAA